AGTATACTCAGCAATGGAAATTGCAAATAAGTCCAGATTAAAAAAATTCAAGAAGAAACTAGCAAAAGATGGTGTCAGAAAATATCAAATTGAAGTTAAAGTTGGAAAGGAAAGAATAGCTCACAGGGCGTTTTAAATGAAGACTTGATAACCGTGGTAGTATTGGCAAACTTCGACGACCCAGCGGTGGCAGTGGCTCCTCCTCTGTTTCCCGTCGGTTTATTTTTATTTTTTTTTGGCCGAGAGTAATAGGATAGTGGCTGATGGATTGAAAAAGGGGATTCTTTTTTGAAAGATGGAACTGATGATTATGGATTGATGAAAGAAAAAGGAAATCTAGCTCAAGGCGGATGAATTGGGATTAATGGTGATGAATGCAGGTAGTAGTGGTACAAGTTCTCAGCTTTTAACATGTGTCCAGGTTTTCAAAATGCAACTTGATTATTCATCTAAACAAGTTGATGCTGCAAATGGTTCTATGAATGGTATCCATGAACAGCAGAATGAAAGTGTTGGATCTACACCTAGGCTTGCAAAAGCACAAGGAGGAGAAGGAATGATGCAAGTTGACACTGCAAATGCTTATATAAATGGTGTCCATGCACAGCAGAGTGGGATTGTTGGATCTCCACCTAGACCAGAGCATGTGCAGAGCTTTGTCAACATATCATATCAAGAATTAAATCTTGCAGGAGTTGATGTTGCCCACAATTCTACGAATGGTATTTATGAACAGCAAAATGGAATTGTTAGATCTTCAACTGGACAGGAGCTCGCGCAAAACATGGTCAGCATAGCACATGATGAACCAATTGTGGAAGATACTCAAAGAGAAGGTGCTAGTATAGAACAAAGGGACAATGAAGTGACTAATTTAAAAATGCAAAAGCCCAGTTGTACTCTAAAAAGCGACCTTGGAATTACTCGTGAGGTTCTTGAACAAAATTCTAGGAGGAAACTTGAAGATGCTGCAAATAATATTGGAGAATTGAAATCAAATGTTGGTTAATGCATCGTGATTTGATCGGGATGTATTTGGAAAGATCTAGTTTACATGTTGTAAAGGCTTTTTCCTTAACTGAAGCTTTCTTTTTTGAAATCTGCAGTTAGTCGATCTACATTGAAGCGTATATGTAGGGAGTACAGAAAACTGTACAGAAAGGTTAGTCAAGCATTTGCTGTACAGAAAACTGTTCAACCTTCTACTGAAGATACTCATGAACACCACCAGTTGGATGCAATAAGGTTAGAAGATGATAATGGCATGTGGGTGAAGGCAGAATATCAAGGGTGCATGATAAAGTTCAGACTTCCATTTTCTGCCCGTAAAATCGATTTGGAGGAGAAGGTAAAACAGCGACTGAATCTAGCTGTGGGAAGTTTTAAAATTGAGTATCAGGATGAAGATAACGATTGGATATGGATAACCTGTGATGAAGATCTGAGAACATCTATGAGCACATTAAACTCACTAGGTAGGACTACAATCAAAATGTTGGTCAAATTGATCAAAAATTTATGAAACTTTGCATAATAAATTTGTTTTTGAGTATCACATTTTCTTTTTTTTTTTGGTCGAAACGATAAGATGATTTCATTGTTTTAAAGGTAAAAAATTTACAAGTACGAGCAACGGCTCGATCGAACTGTACACACTAGTGTTCAAAGACACTGAGGAAGCTGTCGCTCCTCATCCACAATAATGCTTAAAGCATCAACACTCATTTTTTTACTGACTATCATTTCTTCTTCCCTATTCAAACCAAAAGAGCACATGCGAAACAATCTCTGTAACTGAGAGATGTCTTCAAGTACTGTTGCCATTCTGCTGTCCGCTGGACTCTGGTGTTTCAATTGTCTCCACAGTTCTTTGTTACCAACTCTCAGCTTAAGATTGCTCCACTTACGATGCACTGCTTTACACAGCACTAGTTTCAGCGCCAGAGCTTCATCTAGGAGTTTGTTTCCAGAACTGATGTCTTTCATTACCCACCCTATCATCGTATTGCTTGCAAAAAACTTAACTGTGACTCCAATTCCCATGAATAGCTGCCCTTGTTTCATGGTTGTAGACACCTCCATTAGCACTTCTCCTTCCTTTACATAACTCTGATCCTGAGTTTCTTGCCTAGGGGCTGTTTCTTCTGTGCTCTCTCCTTCCCTCTTGTACTCTAGCTGCTGCTGCTCTAGCCAATCAGAATGTGCTTTCCTTATATATTTGAAGGGAGGATCAACGGTAGTGTTCTCGAATTCTCTTTTGTTTCTTTCTTTCCACACCTGCCACAGGATGTTCGCAGTTAAGCCAATGTGTTCCATCCCTTCTGTCCTGTGCCTTGCTTCTGAGATTCTTAGCCACCACCTTTTGAAATCTCCCTGCTGCTCCTTTGCTCCATCCCACTGAATGGGAGAAGCCTTCCATATGTTTTCTGTGTGGGGGCAAGTCAGCAGAAGATGTTCAACTGTTTCCTGTGCTGTTCCACACATCTTACATATCGGATCCCCTACCCCCGTTCGTCTATACACTGCTGCTTTCACAGGCAGAGCACCTTGAATACATTTCCATATGAAAAACTTGATTTTATGTTTGATGTTTAACCTCCAAAGTGTATTCCACATCTGAGCTAAATGCGAATCACTTACTGTATAGCTAGAGCTAGCTCCTCCCTGCCTGCACCTATCTCTCTTTCTGTGTTGCTTCATCAGAAACTTATATCCAGAATTGACAGTGTATACCCCTCCCTCCTTTGGTTGCCAGTAGAAGCTATCCTCCCTATCAGCCAGGCTCAGAGGAATAGCTAGAATTTTTTGAGCATCACTTCTATTGAAATATCTGAATATAATATTTCTGTTCCACCTATGCTGACTAATAAGCTCCTCTACCTTTTCCAGCTCACAATGATTCCCTCGACTGGTAGTTGGTTTCCCTGTTTCAGTGTCTGGGATCCATTTGTGTCTCCAAATATTTGTACTCCTTCCATTTCCTATCCTTCTAATCATTCCAGCAGTGATTAAACTTCTTGCCCCCATGAGTCCTTGCCAAATCCAGGATGCATTTTTGGAGATGTTGCACTGCAGAATGGATTCCTGTGGAGAATATCTGGATTTCAACACCTTACTAACCAACAGATTTGGTTTAGTAAGTATCCTCCAAACTTGTTTTCCTAGCAGCGCTTGATTGAAAGCTTCAATATCCTTAAATCCTATACCTCCTGCACTTTTGGCCATTGCCAATCTTTCCCAAGACAACCAGTGCATTTTATTCTTGCCATTAGCTTCACCCCACCAAAAGTTGGCCATCAAAGCACGGATATCTTTGCACAACCTTCTGGACAGCTTAAAACAAGACATCACGTATGTAGGCATTGCCATTACAACTGCATTCAGTAGCACTTCCTTACCTGCTGGACTCAGAAGTTTGTTTTTCCAATTCTGGCATCTTTTCCTAATATTGTCCCTCACAAAGCCAAAGATCTGCTCTTTAGACCTTGAAACTACCATTGGAAGTCCCAGGTATTTGCCTTGTTTAGCCTCTACCATTCCTCCTAAGGTCAGGCATACCTCCTTCTTCTGCTCATCATCCATATTTTTGCTAAAAAAAACTACTGATTTGTCCAGATTGACCAATTGCCCCGAGGCCTTTTCATATGTTTTCAACACCTTCATGATTTCCGCCGCCTCATTCTTATTAGCCTTACAAAATATGATAGAATCATCCGCGAAAAACAGATGTGTTAACATAGGACCATGTCTGCTGATTTTTAGTCCCTGGATTCTTTTGCTTTCCTCAGCTCTTTTTAGCAGATTTGAGAAGCCCTCTGAACAGATTAGAAACAGGTATGGAGACAAGGGATCTCCCTGTCTTATCCCTCTTTCTGGTGTCACAAAGCCTTTGATCTCACCGTTACAGTTGAAAGAGTAACTCACTGTCTTCAAACAGCTGTGGATCCAGTTAATCCATTTTGAGCAGAAACCCATCTTTTCCATCATATCCATCAAGCATTGCCACTCCACCCTATCATAAGCCTTTGCCATGTCCAGTTTGATAGCCATGTAGCCCTCTTTCCCTTGTCTTTTATTTTTAAGAAAATGCATGTACTCATGAGCAATGATCACATTGTCTAAAATCTGTCTTTTTGGGATGAAAGCAGATTGAGTTTTGCTGATACACAAGTCCAGAACAGATTTCAGTCTATTAGCCAAAATTTTTGATATGATTTTATAGAGCACACTACAAAGACTGATAGGCCTGAAATTTTTCAGATTGGTTAGGTGCAGAATTTTGGGAATAAGGGATATCACAGTATGATTAACTGATTTGAGCATGTGACCTGAGTGAAAAAACGCTTTAACAGCAGGAATGATGTCACTTTTAATAGAGTTCCAAAATTTCTGAAAAAACAAAGGTGTCATTCCATCTTGTCCAGGAGCTTTTTCTGGATTCATAGAGAACAAAGCCTCGTGGATTTCATCCTCCATTACTTCTTTGGTTAGCTTATCATTCATCTCCTGTGTGATATAGTGTGGAATTCCCTCTAAAATTTCTGTCATTTCCCCCTTCCCTCCACTCATAAAAAGGTCCTTAAAGTACTCAGAAATTTCAGTCACGACCTCCTCTTCATTAGCTGTCCAAGATCCGTCTTCTCTTTGTAACCTGTTCAACCTATTACTGACTCGCCTCCCCTTGACTGAAGAGTGAAAAAATCTAGTATTTTTATCCCCATCTCTCAGCCAGCTGATTCTGGACTTCTGACTCCAGAAAGCTTCTTCCTCCTTGTAGGCATTAGCCAATTTACTTTTGAGATCCTGAAGTTCCTCTTTTTTGTTTGCAACAACAGCATTTCTAGCCTTCTCCAGATCCTGCTTAAGGCCATCAATTTTACTCCTAGAGTTAGCTTGGACAGTAATTTTCCATTTTAAGAGTTCAATTCTGCAGTTTCTAACCTTTCTAGTAACTTTGAACATTTTAGATCCCTGTTCCTCTCTATTCCAGGCTTGATCCACTACCTGCTGAATCCCCTCTTTTTGGAGCCATCTCTTGTCAAAGTAGAACCTCTTTTTTTTTTTTTCCCTATCCCAGGGTTGGTGTCTAATAAAAGCATAGAATGGTCAGAAGCAAGAGTCTCAATGTGCTGACACTTAGCACTCTCAAAATCATGAAACCAATCCATACTACCCAAAGCTCTATCTAGTCTTTGACGAACTTCCCCTTCATTGTCCCAGTGATTACTCCATGTCCAAGGGTGGCCTTCAAAACCAATATCCACTAGTCTGTTCATCTCAATGAAATGCCTAAAATCCCTCAAACTTCTCTCCTCCCTAAACACGCCCCCCCACTTTTCTTCATTGGACAAAATGTCATTAAAATCTCCAGAGATCAGGTATCTTGATCCCTACAACCTACTTCTATCAGTTAGCACCCTCCATTGTTCCTTCCTGATCCTTTGTTCACAACTAGCATACACTCCAATGAACCACCAAGCCCCCTGAGAATCATTACCTTCGATCTTGGCTTCTATAGTAAAGGCAGTAGTAGTCACCTCTACAATCTGTGTATCCTTAGTCCAAAGTAAGGCCATCCCCCCTGCTCTATTCATAGCTTCCACAGTCACATTATTGTCTAACCGTAACCTTCTAGCAATTCTATCTATGACTGACTTCCTATTCTTAGTCTCACTAAGGAAAAAGATACTTGGAGAGGAGAGGTTATTCACCTCCCTCAGCTGGGGAACTGTCAAGGGACTCCCCACCCCTTGGCAGTTCCACACCACAATTCTCATTGACACCTGGAGGTCCCTTTTAGGAAGGACCTCTCCTCCTTTTCCGTAGCTCCCTCAGGATACAGCTCCACCAGATGCTTGGTTTTTTTCCACTGACACATATCCTGGCATGCTTCCTCCATCACTTCATCACTAACCTGGATCTTCCTCTTCCCCGCATTCACCTGAATATTATCATTACCTTGTATCTTCTGCAAAGGCCTTCTGTTTCTAACTGGAGTCTTTAACTTTCGAAAAGATCTCCTTGACTGTCTGTCCAGTAACCCCATCATCTTATTTTCACCAAGAGTTTCCTGGCTAAACACTACAAGCTCTGCGTTTTCCTCTAGTACCCTAGCCTCCTGTATGTGATTGTGCACTACTTCCACTACATCTTCCTCCATCTCTTCCTCTACGTGAGGAAGCTGGAGGTCTTCCCCTACTCTATTAACCTGAGGGAAAGCTACTTCCTCCTTTTCATCTATCACCTGATCCTCCTTCCTACTATGAAAGACTACCTTGAGAGACTCCTCATTAGTAGAAGATCCCCCCAACCCCTCCATTCTATCTTCCTCACCTGCTTTGTCACATTCCTGGTTGCTACATCCCCCACTACCAGAGGCCTTGAGGACCTCCAGCAAACTCTGACTTCTAGACATATTATTTTTCTTCTGTTCGACCAGCTCCCCCTTCCTAAAGACCCAGTAACGTCTATCACTATGCTCGGAGGCCCTAGCATTTTTTTTCTGAGGAGAGATCCTAAAATTTCCTGCTCTCATCCAGGGACCGTACTGATTCTCATCAGTGCTCCCTCCTAGCAATCTCCTTACATTGCAAGACCTTTCACTATGCCCCACAATTCCGCAATTATAACAGAAATCAGGACACCTTTCATATTTGAAAGCTATCCATTTGCCAGTTCCTGCTATTCTGACCACAGTACCTCTAAGCAGAGGTTTTGATAGGTCGACCATGACAAGGACCTTCATATGCCTACCCTCTTTTCCCCCCGCCTGAGGGATAACGACCTCTCTAACTTCCTTAAACACACCTCCTATCTTTCTTCCAATCTCCCTAGACAGCCAATGGACAGGCAGATTCCAGAGCTGCACCCAAAGAGGTGCCGTCACAAAGGCTTTATAGTCATCTTCAATGCCTTCAACCCATCTTCTTAGGACTAGCATCTGATTATCTATAACCCAAGGCCCTCCCTCCACTATTCTATCTTTATCTTCAGAGTTGTGTAAGTTAAACTGAAACACATTTGGTCCCAGTTCCACCACTGACAGATTCCTGGGATACCCCCAGGCAACAGCCACAAAGTTTTAAATTCCAGTGAAGTTAATCACTTTTTCTCCTAAGACTCTCCCAATGATACTGTTTTCACAAGCTCTCACACCAGTTTGAAAGTCTTCCCCCTCCAGCGTGAGTCCTACCAACTCATTCCCTTCTAGGGAAAACTTCTGTAATATATCTGACAGTTCTCCCTCCATGGAAAGACGCAGCAAATATCAGATGGAATAAAACACTCTAACCACAGGAGATGAAAAACAGAACCAAGGCGTAACAAAAGATAGAGGAACAAAAAAGAAAGACAAACGAAAACACTAAGAAAAGAAACGCGACTGAAAACAAAAACTTGCTGAAAGATACTGACCACCACAGTTAGAGCATCGATGCTCACTTGTACTCTTAACAGACAAGGAAAACAGAGTATTGACTATCAATGTCCAGGCGGTAGCTTATCATAGTTGAAGATAGCGACGCTTGAACTCCCTTTCTTCATGCACTGACTTGCTTAAACAAAGAGTAGCTGCCATTAACCTTCCATTAAAGATCACTCGTACAAGTACTGATGATCTAGCATGATCCGGTAGAGCGGGAGAAGGACGGTTTTGAAAAAGTTTGAACAAAGCTAGCTTCCCACCAACGAGGTGGGAGAGCTCTTATCCCAAGAGAGAGAACAGCCACTTTAGAGAGAGAAAGCCTCTACTTTAGAGAGAGGAGTTTTTGAGTATCACATTTTCATTCAATACTTTTTCCGTGAAGATTAAACTTTGCATAATAAACTCTGCCGCAAAGCATGCCAAAATACAGGCCTAGTCCCATGTAGCTTCGATGCGTGTAGCAGCACGTTTTAGTTCCATTGACTGGAAAAATATGCTAGATGATGAAGATGATTTTATCTACCACACTTCAATGACCTCAGTGCATTGTTTCCACCATCTAGGGCTTCTGTAACTTACTATACTACAACAATTTGACTAAAAATGCTTCAAATGAAAAAATGAACTAACGTTAAATGCCTCAATAAATAAGGAAACCCTTTCCAAGGTGTAGTAACTGAATCATTATTGCACTTGCCTCTGCTGAGTTAAAATATATTTATTCCTTGGCCATTAGTCAGTGAAACCTTCAATTTTAGATGGTAGTTTCCACTTGTTCTCAAATGACTTAAATATCAATTTTTGTGTTGTAAGATTAGGTGCAATGAATTTCTTACGTTCTGTTGTAATGATTTCGAAAAACTAAGCAAATGATTTCTAGACTTGATAATGAATGTCAATAGCCTCTCTGCCTCAAATTCACCACAAACACTGCAAAATCAGCTGACTTTCTTTTTCTTTTTGATTTCACTGGAAATGCCAAACAAGTTGAATGTTGATAACCCATGGATATATAATAACTAAAAAGTCTAGCAGGAGAGGAATGGAGAGTTAGGATCTCGGGAGGGTCCAATATTGATATCAATATTAAACTTTTTTCGTATCCATATTAGTTATTACTGCACTGCATGGCCAAAGTTAATTGCTTTTAACATAGAGTATGCTGAACTTTGGATATATAACCAAGTTAATATGATTTACAACATTAGCTCAATATTTTAAATACAATATATTATTTTATTTTAAAATGATAATAACGTTTTCAAATTGGGATATTTCAATTCGGCGGCTAAATCAAGAATTCTTAAGAGTTTCAGCCTCCAAGTTTAAGACTTCTACTTTCCTTATCAAAAACAAAGAAGGACTTCTACTTCCCTTATGATGGCAAGTTTTGGGCTTTATGTCAAAGTTTGGGGTCAGGTGTGTATTATATATTGCAGTTCTTTATGCCATTGTTTTCCAACACCAAAAAATAAAATAAAATAAAATAAAAAGAGCCGAGGTTGGAGTATCCAAAAAACATACACTCAAATTGTGAATTTTACATTTAAGTTTTCAGAACCCTTTTTAACTTTTTAGTTTGTCTAAAAGGAGCCCAATTCTGCTCCTTAAGATTGCCTCCAAATATGAAGATTTTGGAAAAGCGAAGACAAATAGGTAAAGTGTAAAAGTAGTAGGAAGGATAATTGCGAGCATTTATAAGTTTAATCAGATTTGCTTAGCCATTGGCATTTGGCTTTGTAAAAATCCTTTTTCATATAAAACTATTAGAATTTTAAATTTTGATTGCAAAACAAGTTTGAAAACTAGAATAATTGACTTAATAGGTCCGATTTGCATCCTTACACACTTAACACTTGTGGAGTACATCATATTTACCAAGATTTTGGCCATTTTGCAGCCCAAATATGGAAAAAAATGCCATTACCTAAGTACTAATTATCTTATTAAATGGCTTATATCAAGGTAAGGTTATATAAGACAATAACCTGTAGTTGGCATAAAAGGGGATGAAGAATAACATAATAAAAGCAGACTACAAGTTAAAGAAGGGGGGGTGGGGGGGGGAATGGTTATCTGTTAATTATCTCCACAGCCTTTCTTTGATTTTCATTCATATCACAAGTTTTGCAAGTTATAGATCGTAGAAGGCCATGCTTGTACGCCATTGATAGTATATATACTATTACAATTGGATTGCACAACACATATGCAAAATTTAAATTATATGCCATGCATATAATGGAGAAAGTATATACACTGTCAGTATATAGAAGATTAATCCTATTTGATATTGTACATATTTGTGCTCAAACTTAAAATTATATTTTTCAATTGGTTGGTGAATTTTGATCTATAATATTAAATTAAGTTATTATGTTTTTATCTATAATCGGCTGTGGATGAATTTCTTAAAAGAAAACCTATAGAAGATCAAGTTGATGATAGTTCGCAAAATATTTATAAACAAAATCAAGAGCTCCAGTTACTTACATTGAAAAGGATGTATTTAACAAAATTGTTAATAAATTGATTTTGCTCTTCCGCAAAATATTTCAAAACAAAATCAAGAGCTCCAGTATAGAAATGTGCTCTGCCGCAAAGCATGCCAAAAAGCAAGCCTAGTCCCATGTTTTAATTTTCATTGAATAGATAAATATGGTACATGATGAAGGTACTACTGGTCTTAAGCTAGGAGGAAGCAAGTCCATGCGAGTACAATGTGAACTGAAGCTTTAAGCTGTGCCTTCCAAACTAACACTTTCTAGCCAAACATCTTCAGGTCGAAAAAGAGAAATCTCTGAAATTCACAGAGCAATAAGTGCGGTGTATAAAAGACATGGACTGCTGAAAGCTCAACCTTGGACTACTTCCGGAGAAATATTAAGCTATTATGATTCCAAATTTGTTCGGAAGGGACAAGGGATAGTTGGAAAAGCATTTTCGTCCAAAAGTGCTTGTTATTGTAGGGATACAAGACATTTAGGCATAACAGAGTACCCCTTGCACGATTCCAAGAGTATTCTGGCTGTTTTGCGGTTTGTTTGCAAAGCTCTTGCCCAAACAACTGCATTTACGTATTGGAGTTCCTTTTATCCAGGAAGAAAAAGTACTCTGGGAGTTGGAGAACATTGTTGCCCATGCTAATGAAAACGTTGAAGACATTCCGCCGGAGTGTCTAGTACAGTAATGAGATTTGAAATATACAAATGGATTATGGATAAACAAAATAAAGTGATGAACTGTGATTTGGTGCCAGATCTTGGCTTGACCCGATCCTGATCCATGGTTAGATCACGTCCAGAGTGGTCCAAGTCTTTCCAGTTCTACATTCAGATTTGGATTTAGTCTGGATCACATAGGTCTCAGGTATTCTTAGTGAATCAGATCTGGTTCTGTAATAGTCAGAAAGTGGTTATTTGGAACCAAATGGTGCGCAAAACCAATGCGGCTGCGTCTGGTCATCATGTGGTCATAAAAAACACTTTTCCTATAAAAATAATTAAGTCTCAATGAATTAAACTGACTTTTGCATTTGATTAATTCTAAGTGAGAACAATTAGATTATGCTATCTACTTTTTCCTTTTTGTTCTATTCTAGGGGTAAATGGCCACTACTCCTAAGCAAACAACTAAGTAGTATGGGCAATTAAAACTTTAAGAACAGTAGTGTTTTCATGCCTTATTAGTTTATCATTTCTTCTCCTTTTACCATGTGAAACAGTCTTCAATGTTATATACATACATACATACATATATATATATATATATATATATATATATACAGATACATATATACATATATATTATACATACATACATATATATTATAGACAGACACATATATATACACACATATATATTATACATACATACATATATATAGATTTATATATACGTATGTATGTATATATTTTATGCTTATAATATAGGGTTAATTTCACATACCTCTCCTAAGGTTTTTAACAATTGCAAAAAACTCCCCTCAATTTCTAAAAATTACACTTACCTCCCCTATTTTCACTATTAAGTAACATTCTAAACCCAAAAGGCTATTCTTTTTTCCAAAATTTCTATAATGCCCTTGAGTTATAATTCACAACAAAAAATGTAAAGGAAAAAAAATGGTTTACAATCTCTATTTCATTTATATTTATTTTCTACCAGTATTACCTACTTATCAACACACAACCACTAAATAAACACTTATCTTTGTTCTAATATTCCTCTTTTACCTAAAAATTTATGATGCAGACCATTGTATCAACTATAAATGCTACATCATATACCCAAAAACTTATCTACAATTTCATAACAATATCAGATTTTACTTAATGTACTACAATATTCACCAATATCCCAAAATTTCAATTCCATGGCTGCCACCTTTTTAATACAAAATAATCCAAACCATCACTACTAATATCAATATCCAATATATTCCATTGGCATAGAGTTCAAAATCGACCAAATTCTCTCTATAGGAATAATATTAATAATTGTAAATAAAAAATAGAAACATAATGCAGTTATAAATATATACCAAGAATGCTTTTTTTCATGATAACCAAAATAGTATAACCTATATTTAGTTCCTATTCCACTTCTTATCCTTAATTTTTATTTTTTTATCATTGTCACTATCTTCATCACCATCTAATTTGATAATGAAATGAACACTCAATTTGTCATTTGATAATTTCAATTTGCTAATACCTACCAAAAATTGAAAATAAAAATGGGCGTAAGAAAACTATTTACTAATAATGGAAAATCGAGGATTGGGAATAGATACCAAGATATATAAGTAGTGGTGGTTTAATTTG